CTACGGTCTCTTGTCTTACCCCGTGTTTTACCTTTAAAATGACCAGCGAAAGATAGACAGGTTGGGAAAACGAAAAATTTTCCTCTAAACTCGACACACTTCAACGTTTTGCATGACGTAGACGTTTAGGCTATGTGTTAGCCTCGCATGAAAGCTTCTTACGGTCTTTTTTTTAATTGTTGTTTTATAATAGCAGGATATTAATAAAGAAACAAAGAGCACAGCTCCACGCGGGCGCAATTCGATTTGACAAACTTAGCTTGGAGCGTTCGACATACTATATAAATTGCATCCTTTAAAATTCAATATTTTTATGTAGTGGTGGGGATTAAAGAAGATCTATAGAGAGGCTACAGTCGGCTACCTGCAGGCAGGAATAAATAAAGATTGTTGTAGGAGGCTTTCGTTATGTGATAGACACTAATGATGACAAAGACAATGTTGATGATGAAGGCAGTTTGAAATAGCTTTAGTCACTAAAAGACGCTCGAGAACTGGCTGCTATGACATCACGCTGCGTTCGTCTATGCTTCGAATGCGAGAGTATGTGGGAATCCATTAACTAGCGCAAAGTTTAATAGCAACGAAATGAAGGTAGAGGAAGAAGACAAGGAAGAGGAAGAAGACAAAGACGTATGCATTTCACCTGGTGCGCCAATGCACTTGCAGTTTTAAACGCAAGCAACAATGAAAACATCTCGTGTATTAAAGGAGGTAATGAATTTTCAGACCAATAAACAGAAAGCTCACTGCTGAATCAGGGTTTGATCTGTACCGTTTTTCCAGAATAAGTTCTAACGTCCCCACTAAGACAGCTAGCCTTTAATGTTTGCGTTATAAGCGTGGATAAATGAAATTGGTCTTTTGTAGATGTTCGCAGTCACGAAATTGCCAGACTGTTACGTACAATGGGCTGCCGAAGGATCACTTTTTACAGCCAACGGAACGGAAATGATTTCGACAAGGGTTAATATTTTAGGGGCGAAGCTTCTTCATTCGTGGGTAATGCGTCCGCGATGTATGTAGTAGTAGTAGTAGTAGTAGAAGTAGTAGTAGTAGTAGTAATAGTAATATGTAGCTACCTCCACGGCTGGACTAGAGGAGCGGCACGCGCGTCCTCTTTGTTCTGAGGAGGAAACCCGCGCACGTTATTGATAAATAAAAAATATGGTTCTTTCTGCTGAAATCACCTACACAGATGAGTATTGGTGACTTAATTTTCAATAAAATTTGCCTTGAATTTGGTGCTTATTTAAAAAAACTAGTAACAGAAGGACGCACTTTGAGCACTATCTGACCAGAAAAGGTTACCACATTAAATTCGCTGGCGTAACCTCCTTGGCTTTAGCAAGGTATAGCGAGGGTGTGGCCACAGTGCTATGAACTCGCAGCGGTGAAAGGTGGGAACTAGACACGAAGCACAGGCCGTAATAGAGTGCGCACGTGGCGCTCCTCAGTCCAGCCGTGCCACCTCTCATTTAGTCCTTGGAATGTCCGCTGGATGTCGGTACTCCTATATGATGAATATATATTGAAAATATGCGAGATGGCGGTACTTGGAGTGTTCACTAGATTAATGGACGGATGGACAGATACATAGATGGACAAACTGACAGATGCACGTATGAATAGATGGACACACACACGGACGGATGGACACATGAATGGATGGACGAACGCAGGGACGTACGGGTGGACGCACGGACGAACGCATGGACAGAAGGACGGGCGGAGGCACAAACGAACGCAAGCAAGAACGAACGGGCGGACGGACGGAGGCACGGACGGAATGATGGACGCTTCGCCCCATTCATCATCATGCACTATGTGGATATGCTGTGATTTTTTTATATACCTAAAGAGGCCCTGGAACACTTTTAAAAGTAACCATAGAATGAATTCACTGGAAGAGCTTATCGCCTCACAAATTTAACGCTGCAAAAGTTTTAACATTACGTCCAGTACCAGCAGAGCTACGAAGATTTGTCGCACGCTGCAATCGCATTCTCTCTTCTCTCGTCCTCTCGAAAAAGCTGGAAGCTAGGCAGAGAGAGATGGCAGGGGCAAAGAAAATACGTCACGCACGCCTCGCGACCTTGCGCACTTTTTTTGAATACGTGGCTTTCTCAGTGCGATCACGCACGCACGCGTGGACAAGTCACGGCATCCCGTGGCGGTCTCTGTAACGACCGAGCACACCATTTTCAAATCACCCAATGGCTGATAGATGGCCTTCTACGAGTGATGTTTAGCGTCTTCCATCACTTGTCGAGGGAAGAGAAAGCAAGTTTTGGCTGACTTTGAAAATTTACTTTGCATTACACACCACGTGCTGCGCTATAACATTTCGAACGCGTGCACTCGGAAACCTCCACTGTCGATTGGTAGCGTTTTCTGACCATGCTGAAAAAGTGTTGCAGGGCCCCTTTAAGAACATACTGTCACTGAACGCCGCACTTCAGCAGTGTGCAGTATTTTCAGAACGTGAGCCAATCTTTGGTACAAAAATATTTGTAGATGGCTAAAAATACCCCTCCTTTTATTTCTTTTTCCTCTCCACCTTTCTATCCCATTTCCCTTTCCCCAGTGCAGGGTAGCAAACCAGAAATTTTTATCTGGTTAATCCATTTTATCCCTGCCTTTCACTCAACCTTATTCCTCTCTGTATTTGTAAATCCGGATTTCATGTTTAATGAAGCACATTGCCTTGAGGGAGCTGTCACTGTTGGCGTTGCCACGTTCTGCATACGCACACTGTTAACAAACGTCGTTTATTTTTCTGCATGAAAACAGTTTACGCCGGGTGATCAATTTTATTGACTACCTCATAGCTGCAAAAGAAAAAAAATGTTTTGCGTGTTTGAGTGTTCAGTGAAATAAATATAACGCAATCATCATCATCATCATCATCATCATCGTCATCATCATCATCATCATCATCATTAACGTGTTCTTGTCCACTGCTGGACGAAGAACCCCCATAATGATCTCCCGTTTACTGAATCCTGTGTGAGATGATTACAATTCATTCCCTACGAACTTCCCAATTTCATCTGACTCTGCCGTCAGTGGCCCTGCCATCCTCGACTGCATTTCCCCTTCCTTTATAACGAACCTTTTCTTTCCGCTTGACTACAACTAGAATATCAGCTACCCATCTATTGACGTTGTTCAAATCACATTGCGTCCCACTCCAAGTTGCGCCGTCCTCCACTTGTTGCTTAGGCACTTTGTTATCCTCCATGTTTCGCTCTTAATGCATGTTATCTTCCATGTATGACGCAGACATGTGGAAGTGTAAAGACGAAGAAGACCTCTCCCTGGCGCTATCGAGCGCTCAGTATGCTACAGATGGCTACGCTGTACGTCGTTTCGCCAGCGTTACGCCAAGCCACATGGGACAACGACGTCATACGACAGCCCGGGCCCCTAATGTGCTCCACACATCATATAGAGAACATGACGTTTTGAAATTCGTGTGAATCTTTTCGTGACGTACATGCCTACGCCGCTTTTTAGGCGACATTACTTCAAAATGTTTCCAGCTGCTCTCAGCGCACCGAAAGCGCTCTATGACACTAGATGGCAATGTTCTTACTTCTAGCTGTTCGACCTTTAAAACACGCCGGCTCTGAAGAGAACACCTCCAGTTTGCTTTTGAGTTCTTGTGTTCTCCCAGTGGAATAAATCATACGTGAGGTGCAGACAGACTGCAATGCTTTCGATCCTGGGCTCAGTGCAATACCAAGCTAAGGGCAGAAAGCTCTCGAGGGGAGGATAGATAAATCGACTGAAAAAAAAAAACGACGAAGTTCGCCTTTGAGTCGTGTTAGGTGAAGGCATGAGAGATCTTTTGAGACTTTTCCCCCGAGAAACATTTTTACTCCTCAAGATTGTTAGGAAGGTTACTTGCCATTCACACAGGTGAACAAAAAAGCGCAACGTATCTTGAGGCAGAAGGCAGTGCTCTGAAATATCTGGTGTCCTTTCGCCTGTGAACTCGGTTAGCTTTCCATGACGGCATGTCGCGATCTTCATGTTACGCCAAGCGGATTACTGTCTTTCTTTTTGTGCATTTCTGCGTGCAGAACTCGATGAAGACGATGATGAAACAGCCTTATTGAACCAACCGACCAAAACAGTATCAATAGAAAACACACATGCTATATCTCTTGACGAACGTTACACAGGAGTTTCTGCAAAGATCCATAGTTATCTCTACAAATATCTTTTAACAGACACGCGTGCAATAACAGTGACAAAGTGGAGAACTAACACATCTAAATATTTTCTACAATGGTCCGTAAAAAAATTTGTTTTGCCAAGTCCTTTTAGGTTTTAGTAACTGCCCTGGCAAGCGCGCTTCATTGTGTAATAAAGCTGACGAGGTATATGAATCATATTTCGAAGCTTTTCTCTCTTTATTTTGCAAATAGTACAGTACGAACGAATTTCGGTGTTAAGCTGCAGAAAGATATCTTTTTGAGCGACATTACGTTCCATCCGCATGCTGTACCTCATCGTGAAAGAAGGATTTTAATAATCACTGAGGTTTTTACGTCTCAAGAGCAAGATGTCGCTATGAGGGATACCGTTATGGGGAGCTCCGAAAATTTCGACGATCTTTATGGGGCACTTAGATTCAACAACACCATCCTCTAACATTTCGCCTCCATTGAAATGCGGCCGCCGGGATTCGTTTCCACGACCTTCTGGTCCACAGGTGAGACATGGCAGTGAAATTGGCTTCATTAAAAACAAGGGGCAACTGAAAACGAACTGAGCACCTGTCATACGAACCAAGACAATGAAGGGAACGCTATTTCGAGACATTCGAGACGATGGAAGGGACGCAGTCCGTCCTTAGAAGAGTCGAACGCGGTTGACGCTGAGCATCGTCGAGGACAGTGATGCACAATACATTTAAAACAAAGGAAACAAGACACAAGTAGGAGGGCAGGGATATGCTCGAAAGCGTGGATCTGTAGGAAGTGCACGAAAAAGCGTACAAAGGACGCGAGAAACAGACAAGCCCTCACTCTCCTCCTAACGTCACGATAATCTCGCTCGCCCCTGCTCGTCTTGCAGCTATCACGCGACGCGTCTACATGCACTGGGCGTTCGAGATAGGAGCAGCAGCAGCAAGCAGCAGTAGCGGCCCGAACGCCCTTAGCGATCACTCGGCCGCATAAGGACCAGCGCAGCGTTTTTCGATTGCTACCCTCCCTTTCTTTTCCTCGCTGGCTGTCGGACCGAGGGCCTGTGACCAAAGGTACGTGTGTACAAGCATGCACTACACGACTGCGTTAATATAAGTTGTCGGCCGTAGCTTGATGGCTTTTCTCCGATTGCTCGGAGGTAGATCCTGACCTTCCAGTTGTGTGCTGGGTAAGATTTGAGCGTATTTGCGCTTTAAGCTGTACACAAAAGTCAGGCTAACAACTCCCCGGACTTTTCACTGCTGAATGGAGGTCATATAGTTTGCATGCAACCAACATGATACTTGTTGGGGTTTTATTACCAATACCACAATAAAGTGTGTGTATGGGGGGGGGGGGGGGGTCACTGAGTCTAGGGCTCGGGAAGTTTTAACTACTTAGTGTTCTTCAAGCTGCTCCTAAATCTAAGTATATCAGGACGCTATAATTTCAGTGCTCCATCGAAATGTGACCACCGCGGTCGGGATTCCATCCCGTGGCCTTCGGGTTAGCTGTCCAGCATTATAACCACCAGATTACTCTGTGGGTATGCAACCTACAAAAGTACATGCCGAAAAAAAAAAGGCGTCATACAACTCTATAAACTAGACCCGAAGAGCATATACGTCGGAGTTTCATCACCACAGAAACTGAACTGCAGGTTTGTTTATTGTGGGGCCTGTGTTTGAGAAAGTGCGACGAGGTGCTGAACCGAACATTTGCGAAGTGTTATGTCGGCTTAAAAGAAGCACGTTTGTAATTTCCGTGACGGTTAATTTGGAATTTATTTCATAAGCCGCATTGTTTATTTTCACGCTGTGCGGGTCTCCAGTAAAAGCCACTAATCTTTCACTATAGCGAGTGTGTTGAGTTGTTTCGTAGAGTACCAGAGAAGCAATGTGGCTTGCGTCGCTTGCTGCTTCTCCTGGGTCTTGGAATGTTCGAATTGCAGAACTCGGTTGTTTTCACGGGGAAAAAGATTAAGGCTTTTTTTTTTGCTTATTTGTGATGACACACATACGTTTCCACCTATTGTCTTTGCTTTTAAAGCCACAAAGTTTTTGCTTGCAAAGCTATATTGCCGGTAAGCCTGGCTCCACTCCTCTTTCTCGTGCTTTTTTTATGTTGTCGTAGACTTCAAGGTTGCAGAACGTAGCGATAACTGCGAACTGCTGAATGAAAAGCAATAATATATATCGAAATAATTTCTGCTGAAAAAATAGCAATAAACATTAAGTTGTTTTCACCGCCAAAATTTTGCCTCGCTGCAAAGTGTCGACGGGGTGGGAAAGTTTGTACTATATCCTCGCATATTTTTTCTTTCTTCTTTTGCTTGGAGAGGTTTTGGGATGAAGCTCCAAAAATTAAATATTCATTGCAAACAACAGAGCAAGAGAAATAATTTCGTTGCTGTATGTAGACTTGAATTAGAATCTTAGTCAACTAAGCTGAAGTGTATGGCACAACGAAGTAGGAAAAAAAATTCCGCCATATCCACGAAGTGAATGATGATGAGTGGGCGAAGCTCCAGAGGTAAACCTGGTAAACCATGAATCCTCTGTACATTTTGCCCACTCGATTTTACTACATCGCTCCCCCTAGCGTACGTCGCCGCACTAAATCGAACGATTGCCTTCAACCAATGACACGCGCCATATGTGACATCATTCCTATTTTATAAGATCTCGCGTCTTTCATCAACTACAAGTACCGCTTTCTAGTTTATAACATCTTGCATCTTTTCATCATCAGCTACAAGTACCACCATCTAGTAAACACTACAAGAACTAAACGAGAGGTGGCTACATACAGGAGACGGTACCGCCATCTAGTGAACACTGCAAGAACTAAACTAGAGGTGGCTACATACAGGGGACGGTACCGCCATCTAGTGAACACTGCAAGAACTAAACTAGAGGTGGCTACATACAGGCTACAGGGGACGCACAGCCCACGCCCTAAGGAGCTTCGCCCCTAAAACCACTGCAGCGATGCGCTGTGCTGCGATGACACGAGCCACCTGTGCGAAGTTAGCGCGTACTCTGCTCAAAAGAGTAATGGTACTACCCTTCAAAATTATCGATGAGGACAAGCACACAGCGATGCCCAAGATGTTAGATTTACAAATATCACCGCCTATTCCTTTTTTCGTACCATTTTCTGATCAATAATGTTCTGTATAAAAACGTGCTCCTCAATTTACACTTATTCCCTTCCTTCAAGATAATGTCACCTAATTTGCTACTATTTATTTTGCTACTATTTAGTTTGCTACGATTTATTTGCAGATATAAGATATTTATGTTTATGATAGTAATTTTCGTTTGTGTTTGTGTGTGTGTGTGTGTGTGTGTGTGTGTGTGTGTGTGTGTGTGTGTGTGTGTGTGTGTGTGTGTGTGTGTGTGTGTGTGTGTGTGTGTGTGTGTGTGTGTGTGTGTGTGTGTGTGTGTGTGTGTGTGTGTGTGTGTGTAAGTGTGTGTGTTAATTGCTGTTCTTATTGTGCTAAGCGGCGTTTTCGTGTCGTAAGATAAACTAATTGTTATCTAAGAATGAAGGAGGCCACAGAATTTTCTGTTGGAAAAGAGGTGATATGAGCTCAACTACGTGCTAGGGTAGCCTTTTTTTTTAAAAAAAAAGGAAGGATGACGTTTAGTGCTCTAGCCAAACCCCCGCGTCACTCTGCGCTTAATTACACACTTAAACAAGCTGTGATAGGGATTGCCGGCACATCAACTTGCACTACTTTCTGTAGTCAAAGCTCTTTCTGTCCTTGTCTCTTCTGTAGTTACGTCGTAACTACTCGTAGTCTTGTGCTGTGCAAATATGTTGCAAAGCGAAAACTTTGATTTTTACACTTGAACCATTCGGAGGTCGAGCGTTCACTAGGTCTCAAATATACTTTATGATTCATATGGGTGGGTGAGAAACAAACTCCTCGTACAGCTTACTCAGTATGAATTCCCCTTCCTTAGATGTAGGCTAATCTGCTGTGCGAGGCAGCCTAATGTTTGATGCGCTACTGCTAAGCGCTATATCTATTATCGGCATTAGTGACCGCATTTATGGGAGAGATAATTGCAAAAACAAACGCGTACTACCGTCGAAACCACATACATCGAACTCGCTAAGGGAATTGAAATGATATATAGTATAGTTTGATATTTAACTTTTAAAGAAGTTTTTGTGTTTTCGATGCAAATTTTCGAACGCAAGTTGTCTTTACAGAACTGCTTGACGATAATGCTAGGAAGGTGGCTTGAAACACATGGAGCTTTTTTTTCTTTTTCTTATTTTTGCGTAGTGTGTATTTGACGGTAGAGGGTTTCATGGAGGAACGGATTGCGGGCGAGCAAATGCGGTGTCATTAAGACCCTCTTTCTCACACCACTCACTCTCCCATGTGCACGAAGGAATGTCCCCTTCTATCAGCCTAGGCAGCGATCGGGAGGAAAATGCAAGAAAAAGTATTTACTACAACAACAACAAAAACAAATTTAACTTTATTATTATTATTATTATTATTATTATTATTATTATTATTATTATTATTATTATTATTATTATTATTATTATTATTATTATTATTATTATTATTATTATTATTATTATTATTATTATTATTATTATTATTATTATTATTATTCTAATGTTCTCACTGTCTGATGTTATTTAACATGCACTGATGTCGCCCAATACATGGACCTTCATCATTCCGCCTCTGTCAAAAATCGACCGCCGCGTCCTGAGTCCAACCCACGGCCACCAAAAATCTTGCGCTGAAGCTCGTCACCGCAAACGCATGAGATTTTTGCGTCTATCTTGATCTGCAGAAATTCTCCCGCTATTATTGGCAAACGCTGGTTGGTCTGCGAGAAAAAAAAAGCGTATCTAATCAGAGGGCAAACACAGCCTCAATGGAGGCAGTGTCAACCTGTATGTATTCTAGACGTCAAGTGTTCGGCGCGGTCACCGCCTTCCGTAGGAGATATGAATGAAACGAGGACTACTGTTACTCCTGTTATCTTATCGCTTTTTCTTCTCATTCATCTTGTTCTTATTTAATTTTCTTTCCTTTTTTATATTATAAGAAACAGAACATAGAAAGGGGGGGGGGCTGATAATAGAGCTTCTGTTTTACGCAGAACGGAAGCAACTAGGCACTTTAGGAAAACAAAATTCTAACTTAAAACGAAAAAAATATCCACTGCGATCACGTAGTGATCGCGTTGCTCAACTACTCACTCGAGGGTCGCTTGTTCAATCCCGGCCACGGTAGTTGCATTTTGATGCAGGTTAAATGCCTTGGGCCCGTGTACTGGGTGATCTTAGTGTACGTTAAAGGGACACTGAAGTTAAGTAATAAGTCGACGTTAATTGTTCAAATGGCATTCCACAAAACCTCGTAGTGTTACTTTTGTGCCGAGGAAGGGCCTATTTTGAAATAATATCACCTTTTAGTGCTTCGCGTCGGTTTAGCGGACTTCAATTTACCCGACTCAAAAAGCGGTCCGACCGGACCGTCTGACGTCACTGTTACCGTGCACAATGTTGCCCGGCTTTACTGCGCTAGTAGCAGCAGACCGAAAGCAGCGGGAGCCACAGCAGCAGCAACGGCCGTTGATCAATTTCCCACCATTGGCTTCGAGATTGCAGACGCTTTTCTTTCAACTTCGCCCCGCTAGATGGCACCACCTGTCCCTTCTAACCACGCGAAAATAGAATTTTCGAACAACTCGTGCCATGCCCCATAGTAATGTCTGACAGTTCTTTTTTTCATGAATCAAACAGAAACGAAAAAACAGCGCTTTATTGCGTCTCTTGGTGTACGGAACGTTCTTTATTTAGTGCAATTAGATCGATTACAATGGATTAATTGTAGGCGGTCCATCTGATGTCATAGGGATCATTCTCTTCATAGGGATCAATTTCCTTCATAGGGATCATTCATAGGGACCAATTTCCTACTGCGGCGCTTGTGTTCTTGTGCATTTACTTTAATTTCTCGGTAAGTAGGGCCCTGTTGTTGACAATACTGTCGTTTTAGATGTTGTCATACATAAAGCTTTCACTCTGACGTAAATTGTTATATGACTTTAGTGTCCCTTTAATTTATGTCACCGTGCGCATTCATGTACACGTTCGCACTTTATTCATATGCGTCTGTCCTGTGGGGATGTGTTCGTGCTGTTACTTCCTCGTCTTTTATTTTGTAATTCATAGTATGGCACTCAATATTATCATACTTTAAAGAAGAGAGACGCTTGGTTAGCAAATGAGATCCGATTTCAGCTATTTGCGCCCTCGGGGAACCAGTGTTTCATAATGGGGATCAAGAATGAGGAGAAGATATTTGTGGAGTGAGATTCAGATTCGCGCAACTCAGATTTATGAACCGTAGCACGCACCGAAGTTAACCCCTTTCAAAATACTTTGGTGGGCAGCCTATGTTCTAGCCATAAATTTTCGCTTATTGTATGCGCATTGCCACGAAAAATTGCCTGCTGCACAAATTGCACGAAATGCTCGTTCATCACATCTCCGTCAGGTGGCCCCACCTGAGTGCTTGTATCAGTGTCTATCCAGCAGTTGTCCCTAAATTCCTTCGAGCAGCGTTGTGAGTTCGGAGACACTAGGGATTCCGCAAAACGCATCATGTAATGAAATAAAATGTGCTTTTTGAAGTGACAGCGGCTTCTTGTAAATTTTTGTATGCCCTGCTATCTAACTTTTCCGAACTGCGGAGAAGATAACTTAAGTTCCCGCTTTCTTTATGAGACGGTTGTAATGTTTTCGTTGCAGTTTTCTATGACATATGCGCACAAGCATACTTCATATATGCTTGTATATTTGAATAACAAGATTAGCTAGAACGCGGTTGAGTTTGGCTGCAGACTGCACAACTTCTTGAGAAGGTGTCGAAGTAAATTCACGTACGACACTTTGGCTTGTCCCTTCTTTCCCGTGGGGAAGCAAAATGCACCTCCTTCACGGCGCAGCTTACGTTGATTTAGAAGCCCGTATACTTTCTCTCACAAAGGTTCCCCCATTACAAGGGTTCCCACATCACTTCCAGCGGTCCACAAGGGGCCTTCAAAACATACACGGCTGAAAACCACTGCCTCAAAGAGACAGAGACAGTTTGTACAAGGCTCCTTCAACCCAGTTATAAGAAGGAAAGAGGCGTCCCAGTTCTATGGAGATATCGGCAGCAGCCGTAATTGTATCCGAACTTTTTCTCGAGAGAGGCACTCCTTTCTTTTCTTTCTTTAATTAAATAATGGAGGATTCTTTGTCCCCAATTTCTGACAACTGCTACGTCTATTCGCAGGGTTAGTAGTAAAAAGTAAAAAATAAAGACGCAAAGAATAACTCCTCATCCTGCCATGTTTTCGTGACGTTTTATCACAGAAAAGCCATCGCTTTCGATACTTCCCTTTAGGAGAAAACTGCCTTTTTTTTCGTTACACCTTAAGTAGTTCTTTCTCCACGAGTTTGTGGAACTGTCCTTTTGCTCTTTTCGTTGTCCTCGATTTTTTTTTTCATTTTTCTGGTTATGACGTATTTTCACTCTTTCTTACACAAAGATGGTTACCTTTTTTTTTTTGTAGCGAGACTATTCACTCACAGTTTTTGTGGGCTTGTTGAGACGCACTCGCATCAGGGCACACTGCAAACAGCTTAGTTTTTGAGAGTTCCTTATCTTCGCAATTTTTCATCCACAAACTACATTTCACAAAATTGTGGTCCTTGCAGACGCTTCTAATATCACCGTGACTACTTTTTCTTTCCACTTTGCGAATTTCGGTGCCCGATAATTCTTACAAGATACAAACGAAACACAGAAATGATACAGTACTACGGGAACAAAATATGGAGCTTAATTATGAATCCGTCGTGGTTTTCGCCGCGGAAGCACTTAAAAAATAGATCAAAATATTACAAAGGCCTAAATTAAACACAAAGTGGTGTTCTGCTAGAACAATGCGGCCCTTCACTGATCATCACAAACCATATCGAAGTTCTGTTTTGGGCAGATCGATCATTTTTAGTTTCTGCTATTACACGGCCGCGTTGACTAAAAACAGCAAGAACAGTAAAATCTGCTGTAGTAGGACTAGAGAGGAAGTTCCGACAACGATGACTAAAATAAAGTAGTTACCTATATATTTACAGAACGGTTAGAGTACGCCTCGTAATGCTCAGTAAAAAGGTACGAGCACATTTTCAAAACATATTTTAAAGAAACGAGTATGTGAGAACACGGGCTGATGCTAGGGTCAATGTTTAGACAAGCAGACTTGCCTTCTTCAAGACTAAAATTTGAAGGAAACAAGTTCACTTGTCGGAAAATCTGCTCCAGTGACACCTCGCGTTCAAGGAATTTTTCATATCTTCAAGCTTCAGCCTTCCCCTGAACTTCGGCATTTTTTTTTCTCTCTTTATAATAAGACGTTTTGCTTCGCTCCGGGTTTGCACACGATACGCACGCGCTGTTTCACTGTTGTGTTTTGTTTGCGTGGTTACTGAGCATCGTTATCGCTTTTTCCCCCTCTCCTATTCCTCAATCCTCGAAACGTGCAGGAGGGTATGACGTCATGGTTGCTGCTTCCCCTCGTGGGGATCCTGTACATGGCGGGCTGCAGCCATGGCTTGGACAACGGGGTGGCCCTCACACCGCCTATGGGATGGCTCTCTTGGGAGCGATTTCTGTGCAACGTCGACTGCAATAAGGACCCGCAAAACTGCATCAGGTACGAGCTGCGTGAGTGCCTTTGAATGTGTAAAAAGAAAGAAAAGAATTTGTGGGCACGTCGCCCATTAAACTAAGTCTGTAGAGAAGAAAGGGGTGGTATTCTGACCGCTGATAGCAAAGGTTGGCTAACAATAACGGTTGTTTAACCACGGATGGTAGACAGCAGCTGACATTTCCTGTAAATCGGTAAAGACCAGTGATTATTAACAAGGGCTGGTAGAGTGCAAGTAAATATGGCGCTCAAGACCACGTGACTTGGTGCGAGACAATTGTTATAGCGCGAGAACAGAACGACGACAAAGGGACAAGAACAAGACGATCGCGAGAAAGTCTGTTACCATGTTGCCTTAGGGATTGGTTCATATTTTGCGTTAGAAGTATAACATCGCTGTAGCCCCTAATGGAACGCGGGTGAGAAATAAAGAGGAAGAGATGAAGCCAAAGGAAAGGTGGGGAACGAAGTTGTACTCAAAATTGTACTCAAAGGGAAAGAGCAGCAACAGAATAAAGACAGAAAGAACACGTGTTGAAGTAGATTGTATATAAAAGGTCGATAACATGCCGCTGAAGGTATCAGTAAATAGCGAAAAAGGAGATCCGATCTTTCGTTCAACGCCCGCAGCCCCGAGTAATAAAGCGCGGACGGCAGCCGTTCAGGTACTCGCTTCGCGGACCCTCTCACGTCACAGGAATTAATGAAAGATTCCTCCAGTTTACGATTACATGGGAAGCACTTCAGCCGGGGCCAGAACGCAGAGACCACGTGATGGCAGGCACACGCCACGTGATGCAGGGCGATTTTATGTAAGTTGCGGGTGTATGGGCATTTCACGCTTTGAGAGCCAGTCTCAGCTTCGCAGAGCAGCTTTTCGGGTGATTTTGCGATTCGGGTTACTTAGAAATGTCGCAGTGTTTTATAGAAGGAGCGCGAGGCTACCGGCCTAAACAGTGGACCAACATAGTGCCCCCTCTTTATTAAGTTCCTGAAGAGTATCGAGATACGTCGATACCTTTTTCTTTAAAATTTACTGGTCGATCAGTAGGCGTTAAAGAAAGAAGAAGATGCTTTCACTTAATTACATTCCAACACGTCATTATTTTTTCACATCGCGCTCGCTTCTTACACGTGAGGCGAACGACCAGAGCCGCTTTTCTCCCCTGCCTGCTCCTTCTTGGACACTGCTTTCCTAAATCTTTAATATGGCTCACGCTCATGGTGCCGTCTTCCTTGCAGTTCAGACGTGTTGGTCACACTAAACATTTTTCTTTTGCTGCAGGAATGAGAGCCTGTTAGTACACGCAGGCATGTGCTGAGTTTTTCATTAGGGTGTTGGGAGGGGGGGGGGGAGCAAGTTTTGTCACAGCATTCCTTAGCCTACTCCCTCGCTCTGTCGAGTCCGTAGAGAACAGATTCCGCAATGGACGTGAAAGTGAAAATGAAGCAGTGACGTACGTCTCACAATGACTTGTCATTGGTCAGTGGCTTTTCGTCGTAAAACTGGAAAGTAAACTGTTCTCTGAGGGTAACATCAGTCGTCCCTAGTCGTCTTTGTGGTCCGAAAACAGGCATAACTGTAACGCTGTGAATTACAAGCTGACGTGAAACGTCTAAGTAAAAGTATTGGATAGAATTGGCACCTACACAAGAAAAAAAAAGAATGAAAATGACGTAAGATGTCTGTCTAAAAAAACGTCGAAAGAAGACTTGGCGGCCCTCTCCTACCAATGATTAAGAGTCGGGTTAGAGAGGGGGGGGGGGGGGGGCTAACCTTGCCCATTAAAAAGTTACGTGAAAAGCTTGACTAAGTAAAACCACCGAGAAACCTCCCGTGGTTGTCTGGTGGTTATTGTGTTCGACTGCTGATCCACAAGTCACGGGATCGAATCCCGGCCACGGCGACCACATTTTCGTTTGAGGCGAAAGTGTTCGACTTCCTTGTATATTTACTCAAGTGCACAAGAAAGAATACCGGGTGGTTCAAATTTCCGGAGCGCTCCACTACGGCATCTCTCATAATAATATATATAGTGGTTTTGGGACAGTAAACGTCTATGCTTACTATATTAATGCATGGGCGAGGATTCACACTCCCCATACACCTCTCCGCCGTGTGCACACGCATTTGTGCAATGTGTATCTCCTCTTCCTTCTCCTCCTCCTCCTCCTCCTCCTCCTCCTCCTCCTCCTCCTCCTCTCATTCCTCTTTCCTCTCTCCCCCATGTCGGGTAGCAAATTGGACTTAGTCTAGTTAACCTCTCTACCTTTCTGAGATTTTTCCTTCTCTCTCTCATATAATAGTAAAGTATCAATCTACATAATTGGCAAGTTATAAAGTGCATAAGGTTGTGTAACGAAAAAAGTTCGGACAAGCAGGGCCAGCTGCTGCGGCTGCTCCCATTTTGAAGTACCTCCAGACGATTGTCAGGGTGACCTTTACGTAGCACAGGAGGGGTCAACTGCACTTGGTTTCGATGAGCAAGCCAGCTGACGATTTTTTCAAAGATAAAGAAAAAGTAGGACGTATCAATCACGCCACCGTTTAAGGAGCTTTTGTTTGCGTGCCGGACAATGGAAAGGTGCACTGCTGTAGCGGTGACGTTGGAACATAGCATCGCTCGAAAGAAAAGCGGCAAGCAGCTGACAAGCGAGGACAAATAGGACACCGCAATCAGTATTGATTTTTTTTTTTTGCCTGAGACGAAAGCGGATCGCTAACAAGAAAAACAGGCTTTGTTATGCCCTATTTGTTCTTAGATAAAAAATAAAGAAAAACAGGGATATGTAGGAAACACAATTCCGTACGAAACGACCAATTGTGATCCAGGTTAGACTGTTACAGTACGTCTTTGAAACCACCCCGAGAGTTTTTTTTTTTTTTTTTTTTTAAGATTGCTCACAAGCAGGGCAAACCGCACTTAAAAGCTGCGCGAGGCAGATACAACAAAAACGCTGAAATGCTTCAAAGTCTTTACTGTAGTTTCTCGATCTTTATATAACTTGTTACTTTCATTGTGGAGGACACGAAACAACTCGCAATTGAGTATATATGTGGCCCTTTATGACGCAAAAAAAAAATGGTGGGGTGTGCCAATGTGAGACGTTTCTGGTTATGTACACACATCACTTCTTCGCTGTCTTCGTGTGGTTTCTCACTGGTTTTTTTTTTTTTTTTACTACTATGAACCAACTTGCACAGAAAGCTACGTTACTGGACATATCAGTCTTAATAAGGTCCTCGTTCAATGCTGGCCATACTCAGACAACCAGACGGATAATATCCGGTTTTCTGGCTGCATTGCTTACTGTAAGCGGGACCAGATTAAACGTGTATGATGTGTGCACGTTCTATTGTAAATGAAACGTAATTCGCTGGTAATTACTCTCGTCTTCTAACTTTTTATAATGAATTACAACTAATACTGTCTGATTAATGTAAAAAAAAACAGCGTCGCTGTTGAGCAGAGTAAGATCGATTCAAGATTTAAGGCAAGATGTTTAGGGAGAAAGCCATAAGGGTGAATTTCTGTGAAAGAAAAAACCGTCCGAATAAAATCAATTATTAGGGACACAAATATACTCATACTATACTATATAGTTTTGGAACAAATAATAGCTTAAAATAAAAACAAGTGCCGAGAAAATGAATTTTATGCTCCAAGTCAGCGGGGTGATGCGGTGCTCTTAAAGGTCAACTCTGGGATTTTTCGGCCATGTCAAAGTAATCGTGTTTCTATGTTTCCGAGACACTCTTGCTCACGAGCCCCATAGCTGGAATGCTCAGGAAATTCGAAAAAAATTTCAACAGGCAAAAAGGCACAATACCAACACCGAAACCCAACCAAGCGCAACTGTCTACGTATGACGTACTGTTTGGTAGAGCCGGAGTTCTTATACTGGTCCTTCTGGCCCGGAGTATGAAAACTGCGAAAGCCAGACCAGTGAAGCGCAGAAAAAACTCCACAGAGAAAAGAATGAAGTTTTTCCGCACCAAACACCGCCGCCGTCACCTTGTGGCCATCAGAATAACCGCTGTAGCGGCCAAAGTAGCGATGCCAACGGCTGCGTCACTTCCGTTGACGTGCCAACCATGACGTCACATAGACAGTGTTGCCAATCATTCTGGCAAGCCATGCAGGAGAGCGTTTCGAACCAATCTTTGAAGTTTATTTGCAAACAATGAGCGCATCTCTCAAGCCTGTAATTTAGCATAAATGAGGGAAATATGGAAAGGAACATATCAAGCTAATCTCACTGAGATCCATTGACCTCAAAAAATCTCCGGAATCCGAGATTCCACCTGACGCCTGATTTATGTTCACCTGATTCCACCTGATTTAAGTCCACCTGACACAAAAGAGGCTGCCGGATGTTTCAAGCCCAGGTGTAATAATGGAACTCCACGTCATCGTATTATTACATTTCGTACCATAACAATGACGCTTTCGTTTCACATGCTCTTTAATTCCACCTGATCACTTAGCTGCTGTCTGACGAAGTTCACTGAGTTGTCAGTGATACCACCTTTCACATAACCCGCCAAAGAACTGCTTACATAACACGTCTAATAGCCCTGTCCCTTACACAATACCACCATCAGTACCGAATGCTACGAGCTACGCGAGTGGTACATCAAATTGACACTCGTAGTTCAATCAAATCATCTAGGGTTATTAAGAATGGAGACGTATACAACCGGTACCCAATACACCGCCTCTGAAAATAAATCAAACCTATCGATTCCCCTGGACTTACTTTGAAGCTCGATGTTCTCACGAGATTTGTCATAAATTTTGAGAGCAACGCTGAGACCAAAGCAAGAAAAAAATAAGACGTTCGTACAGTCTGATTGGTTCAGGCTGTGTTAGCCATGATCGTAAATGATCACTTTCGGTCTAGTAATGTCAGAAACAGAAGAAAAAAACCAAAAAAATGAAAGTCACCGGGAAATATGACAGATTGCAAACACAACGTGATCGAAAGAGATCAAGACAACGAAAACGCGTTTGTGTTGCCCCGGTCTCTGCTCTTGTGTCCGTGTTTAGCTTATATTTATGACATTCCAAGAAAGCGAGAAAAAAACAGGTACATAGTTTCATTATTGATTGACACTGTTGACACTTTTTGAGATTCGAAAGCGAGTAACAATGCAAAAAATTGACGTGACTTTTGACACGTGAAAATATCAAATTGAGCACTACGCTTCAAATACTTCATAACATCGCGAAGACACAAACGATGATTCATTGGGAGTACATCATAAATACCTTATACTCTTTCAATGCTTTCCTTTTGGAAATCAATTAATAAGAAAAGGAAGCGAAGAGAAGAGGACGTATGAGCACGCAGTGAATCAGTACTGGGCCCGTGAATTGCTGCCAGTAATTGCTAAAGTGGATGGGCATTAAATGTATTCGCAGAATCGAAAATACGTTATTTCAGCTACATTGTTGAAAAAAAAACAAGAGAAATAGTTTAGGAATAAGCACACGGCCCACACACAGCGAGAAATCGTTCATTATCTGCAGCTTCGCTTTGCACAAAACTTGATGCGCTCCAACACTGGCGTGATGCTTGCAGCGAGCAGCTCTACAAGACAATGGCGGACATCATGGCGACCCAGGGTTACCGGGATGCGGGCTACCAGTTCGTCAACGTGGACGACTGCTGGATGGCAGACGAGCGTGATTTTGACGGCCACCTGAGGCCCAATGCCACGCGCTTCCCCAGTGGCATCAAAGCACTCGCCGCATACGTGCGTATTCCATCATTGTTTCGCTTTTTTTTTCTTTTAAGAGGAGAGAAGGGTGCGAAAGGGATGGCGGATGGACGATTGAAGAGAAGGGTGGAGGTCGTGTGATTGCTTCTGCGAGGTTAATTGCTAACAGCTCACTGAGGTTAAACTTCCTCAACTTGCCATTCGCCGAAAAATCACTCGACTAAAGTTTTTATATCAGCTTTACAACAATAAGCTCAATTTAAACCCTGCTCTCTATTTGCGTCCCCCAGGAAGAGTCTCATCAAGAACCAATCACCCACACGTAATTATGCCCTACACACCGAGAATTGACACATTTAAAAACACTTTTCTTGTCAGAACGATTGTCGACTGTCTTGCCGCCGATTTCTTTGAGAATGTAGACACAGTTGAATCTTTTGTTGGTAAATTGGAATTGTCATTGTATGATGTGGTTCCCACTCTGTAACAGCCCGACAGGGCTTACAGTATTGTGAATAAATAAATAAATAAATAAATAAATAAATAAATAAATAAATAAATAAATAAATAGATAAATAAATAAATAAATAAATAAATAAAGAATAAGCCACTCGGTACGGTGCCTATCAGCTTAAACCATTCAACGACCTTCAACCTACGCGTAATCGCTTTACTAGGACGTGTGATTTATTTGTTTCTTTTTCCTTTTTTTTGTTCCGCCTATCTTTCTTTCCTCTGTGTTTCTCCTTCCCCAAAGAGCAGGCAGGACTTCTAGCCTTTGGGCGGCAGTTGTCAACCGTTCTCTCCCTATTTATTCGGTGCCCCGTCACGGTGGTCTAGTGGCCAAGGTACTCGGCTGCTGACCCGCAGGCCGCGGGATCGAATCCCGGCTGCGGCGGCTGCATTTCCAATGGAGGCGGAAATGTTGTAGGCCCGTGTGCTCAGATTTGGGTGCACGTTAAAGAACCCCAGGTGGTCGAAATTTCTGGAGCCCTCCACTACGGCTTCTCTCATAATCATGTGGTGGTTTTGGGACGTTAAACCCGACATATCAATCAATCATTCCCTTGGAATCCAGTGAGTTACCCTTGATGACCGGCGGTTATCCAGCCGACGCGCTACGGGCCCGTCCTATGTCCATTTCTTCTTCTTGATTTCAACTATAATATTTTAACCTCCCTTTGTTCCCTGAGCCACTCTGCGCTCTTAATGTTACACCTATCATTTTCCTTTCCATCGGTCGCTGCGTCGTCCCCAAAAAACAAAACAATGACTTTCGACACAAAGACGGGTTTTTGTGTAATCAAAGTCTTGCTAAAAAAGCGAGCTGAACACTCCTGAAAACGTGTTGGTGGACTTTTAAAAGTCTGGCCAGCTGATCCCTGGTGTCTGTGAGAAATACGCTCGAACACTCCTCTCCACACGTTCCTCCTACCAGATACACGACAAGGGCCTCAAGTTTGGCATCTACCAGGACTCTGGCCTGAAGACGTGCGCCGGATATCCGGGCGCATTGTGCCACTACGTCAACGACGCGCGTACCTACGCCGACTGGGGTGTCGACATGGTCAAGCTAGACGGATGCAACCTCAACCCCCGTCTCATGGACATTCGTGAGTGCCCATGCACTATGCTCTTCCTGCAGGCATATCATATAGCTGATTTTTTTTTTTTTTACAAATAATAACTCGAAGGTACAAGCTTTTACGTCAATGTTTAAGCTTTGTTCAAGCTGGATGTCCCGTTTTTCACTCGGGAAGGACGTCCCCTTATTACTACCCACGACTGGATGAGCGGAGGCTTTAATTACCGTTAAGCTTCTTTTTTTAATGTGAATATTGTTTATTTAACTAGCATAATAGGTTCCAGATGTGGGCACAATCGTCCACAAACATCCACTGACGTCAAGCACACACTGATGATGTAATTTAACAGCAAGTGACGTCAGGTAGTGACGCGAGTAATATCATGCAAACGATGTAAGTACAGCTAAGCTCAAAAGTTTCCAAGCTGCACTCCCAAAGAAATACATGAGATACTCACCTGGAAACTTTTGACTTCCCCTGTACATCGAATAAACATAGATAAAAATTTAAAAAAATCCTCCGACAGCGGTATTTGAGCTCAAGCCCTTTGTATACATATAGTTGGTCAAAAAGTAAGCAAAAAAAATAAAGTTTCACCCACAAAATTTGGTTGCGCCCACTTTTCAACTCTGCAAGGGAGCAGTCTTAGCTAAGAGCGTGATCATTGGGTCTAGCTTGTATTGTAGTCCGCAAAGGCTTTTGCGAGCACCAATCATATGCGTTAAATAGCTCCGGCAAAAAATGAAAATACAAGAAAAGAATGGTTCGTGTGCGTTTCCCGGGCAACGACCCGATGGGCGCTCCGGAAAGCACCGAGACAACAGGCAGCAAATGGCGCGCGAAGTAGCGGCTTGGTTAAAAGTATATATATATATATATATATATATATATAGGAAGGAGTTATATATAAGAGAAAGAAGTGTATACCTAAGGGCTCGTTTTTCCGTGTTTGGACACAATACTAATGAGATCTAGCAGACAATAATGCCAAGGAATATATAGGGAAGTTAATAGAACAAATGGAATGTAAATAAGAAAGAAAAGTGGGCGAAAAAATAACCAGTCGTGAGTGGGAATCGAACCTACGACCTTCGAATAACGCGTTCGATGCTCTAACCACAGAGCTATCACAGCAGCTTTCCCTTTATTCACTTTTTTGGGTTTGTATGTGAATTTAGAAGTGGGAGTGTCAGTCAGCGCCATCTGTAAGCCAAGCGGCGAGTGTGAAACACCCTTTTATGCGCATGTGTGGCGTCACGTAGCACGTGAACTTATTACGAGCGGGCAGCTGACCAATAGTCTCTCGTATACAACCTAATGACACCAAGTCTGCCAGTACGAGACCCTCGTTAATGAATACGGGAAAGAAGTGTATACCTAAGGGCTCGTTTTTCCTTGTTTTGACACAATATTAATGAGATCTAAAAGACAATAATGCCAAGGAATGTATATGGGGATGTTATTAGAACAAATGGAATGTAAATAAGAAGAAAGAAAAGTGGGCTGGGCTTACAGATGGCGCTGACTGACACTCCTACTTCTAAATTTACATATAAACCCGAAAAAAGTGGGGTGAGGGAGGGCCGCTGTGATAGCTTAGTGGTTAGAGCATCGACCGCGTCATTCGAAGGTCGTAGGTTCGATTCCTGCTCACGGCTGGTTATTTTTTCCCCCACTTTTCTTTTTTCTCATTTACATTCCATTTGTTATAATAACTTCCCCTATACACTCCTTGGCATTATTGTCTGTTAGATCTCATACATATATCCAGGAATTTCATCGAAAACTGCGTTGCTGTGATACCTAATGACGCACAGCGAGGTGTTGAGGCTATCGGTTGCGGCTGTAGCAACACGACTGGAGTCTCAGATTTACCTAAACAACCAGTGGTATACAGAAGCATGACATCGGAATACCTGTGCCAATATGCTGAAGCTTATTCTGCGTGGCCATGGTTGTGCTCGCAACTACAGGCTCCATAAGCAGGCGTAAACAGGAGTACTCCCGTCGATGACGAAGAACAGGCCGCAGTCACTGGCTTGGACATCGGTCGCCGTAATTGAAAGGCCACAGTAACCGCTCATAGTAGCCCCTCAGCGAGGGGCTACTAGGAGGGGCTACTGCGGCCTTACAATTACGGTGACCGATGTCTCAGCGAGGGTCTACTCAGCGGGGCTACTGAGCAAAGCAACCGTTACCTAGAACATAGGTCACCATGAGGGGCCCCTCGGTTTTACTTACCGATAAAATAGTGACATGAAACGTTTCGTAAACATCAGTACATTCCTTGAATGCTCATTGGGGAACTCCGTGGTGTTCGTGCAGTGTATCCGGCGTACACCCAGTCCCTGAATAGGACCGGCCGGCCGATAGTCTTCTCATGCAGCTGGCCTGCCTACCAAGTCGATCTTGGAATGAAGGTGCGTAAAACATTATCACTTACATAATGTAGTAATCAGTGCAAGAGATAATTCGATATTACTACGCTCTATAGACTGCATCCTCACGAGCACCCTTCTCCGTGGGTTCTGGGTTTCAGTGATCACACCGAAAGTTAACAACGCACAGCTATTCTTCTGGTTTGCTTATTCAAGCTCTACCGTAACACCGATGAACACACGAAAAAAAACAGGCCAATAAAGCTTAAATTCTATGTACGCAGCGAAATATTCTTACATATGGTAACATTTTCTTGGCGCCCCGCCACGGTGGTCTAGTGGCCAAGGTACACGGCTGCTAGCTGGCCCGCAGGTCACGGAATCGAATCCCGGCTGCCATGGCTGCATTTTCAGCGGAGGCGAAAATGCTATAAACTCATGTACTCAGATTTGGGTGCGCGTTAAAAAACCACAAGTGGTCGAAATTTCGGGAGCCCTCCACTACGACGTCTGTCGTAATCAAATGGTGGTTTTGGGACGTTAAAGCCTACACATAAACATTTTCTTGACACAATCAAATCAAGTTTCAAATCAGAGGTTTTGGGCTTGACACGCACTGTGCACACTTAATGAAAGCGTGTGATATAAAGCGGCCACCTATGCATGTGATAAAGCGCGTCTGCGGTGCCACGTTTATTTCGCGCAGAGATAGGCGCCAGAACTTCTGCTGAAATACCCTTCTTATTGATACTTAACGGAGTTCCGCGAACTTGAATTACCAACTCGCCCAGCAGTCCATGCTTTTTATCGATAAATTTGGTAAAATCATTCAGTGCACAAATATTTAGGGTTGACAGCAACGAAATCAACCATCACAATGAATGAGGACGAAAAATAAGTCGTGCAACGGAAAGTAGAAATGCGCACCCGAACCAAAAATACGTTGGAAATGCACTAAGCGTGGTTCTCTGTGTAAGGAAAGATTGAAGTTATGCTTATTTGCGCACGTGTATGATGGAGTATAGAAAGTTTCTCATCAGATAATGCGCACATCATATTTGGCATGATAATTAGCGTTCCACTGAAATTTTGATCACAGATAAGTGTATACTTGCTGTAACTCCCCTCTCCTTTCCTGTTTTGATCTCATCATGTTAAATTGGCAGTATTTTTAAATAAAGTAAATAAAGAGAAGTTAAACTCAGTGCAAGTGTTGTTCACGATATAGTCGTGTGATGTGTAGCCAAAAGCAACACGCCTATTTTATGAACTTTATTTTTATACTTAAATATAGGTACAAATTGTGACGCGTTCAACAACACTCTGTAGTTAAACCGCTTATTTCTTAGCCGCGACAACACTTTGTCAAGTATGTTCGTCAGCGGCCTGATAATATATAGCTGTCTGTCCTCACGTGAATTTGTCTTCAATACAAGGGGCCTGCACTGCAACTCACCTCCTTCGAGTATGGTATAACTGTCAGTTCAAGCACACGAATAAACAGAAAGAAAAAGAGGACAAGCGCTTTCACGCAACCAAACGATTTATTAGAGAGGGAAGAAAGGGAATATTATTAGAAAGAGAGTCATGTAAACAACGCGCGTGCGCAGGGAGTTTCCGCAATGTCGCATGAAACACAGCAAAAAGTTCGTAGACTGCGCAATGGGCGTTGTTTACATGATTCCTTTTAGCTGTGGTAAAGTGTACATGGGTCAGTCGGGAAGGTGTGTCAATGTTCGTCTTAGAGAGCACGATTCTTTTATGAAATCATTGGGTGCAGAAAGTGTGGTTGTTATCCTCTTTTTCAGGATACTGAAGTGGTTTTTCGATCTAACAATCATTTAACTCGTGAGTTGACAGAAGCTTTTTACATAAGAAAAAGAGGAGAACAATGCGTCAGCCAGCCTTCGGTTTTGCTGCACGATAAAGAGTTTGTTTTTCTAGAGTATGTTCCGAGATAATTTTTCTTCTTCTACCCTGTGTTCTTGAGGTGCCAAGGGTGTACTTTTTGCCTGCACACGCATACGTTGTTTTTTTTCTGATTGCCTGTTTATATATTCTTCCCTCTCTAATAAATCGTTTAGTGGCGAGAAAGCGCTTGTCCTTTCTTCCTCTCTGTTTATTCGTGCGCTTGAACTGACAGTTATACCATGCATATCCAACTGGCCCAACTTTCGATTCTGTTGCTCCTTCGAGTAAATATTTTTTATAGAAAAACATTCAATCTTTTACATGCCCACTCACACTTCTAACACGGCGTTGGGCTAGAGGAAAACATACATGCGCGAACTTGTAGTGGCAACGGATAGGTTGATGATGAGACTGTGGCTTGATGAACGTACATGACTTGTGCTGTCGTGCTGCTTTCTATGTGCCTAAACCGGGGGCTTGTAGAAATCAAAGCCGTGCTGCTTGTCTTATATGCAGCCCAACTACCGGGCAATCGCCCACTCATGTAACCTATGGCGCTACTACGACGACATCTCAGACTCGTGGGAAAGCGTGCTCTCAATTCTGGACTACTACGCCTCCGTTCAGGACACACTGATCCGTGTGTCCGGTCCAGGACGATGGAGCGACCCCGATATGGTATGTATTCTTCCTGCAAGTCCTTAGGAGTTCTACCTGAACGGTCACTAAGCCAAGGCAGTGCTAGCTAGCGCCACTATATTCGCCATGGGGGCGAATATAAAACATTCCTTTTTGCCATATACGGCGTCACATGGCACGTGATGTTTAGGCAATACAAGCCGGCCAATAAATCCCCGCATGCAACAGAAAGAAACCCAGAGTACATGTCGGATGTGAATGAGTGAAAGAAAGGCGAATTCATCGTGTAGTGAATGTCCGTTAGATACCCAAGAAAAGGACCAAACAAAAGGTATTTTGGCAGTATACGAGCGAAGGCCCAATTTTATAGTAATCAAACTTGCAGTGTAAACATAGTTAGACATAACAAGTCAAGCTACGTTGAACCATTCCGAGTTAAATTTTTAAATTGTAATAGGAAGCCCCACACTGGAGCAATGAATTCCACTTTCGACGGAATGAGTGTTCTACAAAGTAAAATTCTAAGAGCCTCAGCAGTACAGTAAATGTTTCATCATCATTATTATTATTATTATCATCATCATCATCATCATCATCATCATCATCATAAGCCTGACTACGTCCACTGCAGGACAAAGGCCTCTCCCATGTTCAGCCAGTTAACCCGGTCCTGTGCTTGCTGCTGCCAATTTATACCCGCAAACTTCTTAATATCATCGGCCCATCTAACCTTCTGTCTCCCCCTAACCCACTTGCCTTCTCTGCGAATCCAGTTAGTTACCCTTAATGACCAGTGGTTATACGGTCTACGTGCTACATGCACGGCCGATGCATCATTTCTTTTTCTTGATTTCAACTATGATATCTTTAACCCCCGTTTGTTCCCTAATCCACTCTGCTCTCTTCTTGTCTCTTAAGGTTACACCTACCATTTTTTTCCATTGCTCGCTGCGTCGTCCTCAATTTAAGCTGAACCCTCTTTGTAAATCTCCAGGTTTTTGCTGCGTAGCTAAGTACCGGCAAGTTACGGCTGTTCTATACTTTCCACTTGAGGGATAGTGGCAATCTACCTGTCATCATTTGAGAGGGCTTGCCAAATGTGCTTCACCCCATTCTTATTCTTCTAGTTACTTCAATCTCGTGGTTCGGCTCCGCGGTTATTACCTGCCCTAAGTACACATAGTCTTTTACAATTTGAAGGGCACTATTACCTTTCTCGAAGCGCTGCTCTCTTCCGAGGTTGTTGTACATTACTTTCGTTTTCTGCAGACTAATTTTAAAACCCGTCTTTCTGCTCTCCTTGTCTAACTCCGTAATCATGAGTTGCAATTCGTCCCCTGAGTTACTCAGCGATGCAATGTCATCGGCAAAGTGCAGGTTACTAAGGTACTCTCCATTAACTTTTATCCTTAACTGTTCCTATTCTAGGCTTATGAAAACCTCCTGTAAGCACGCTGTAAATAGCATTGGGGAGATTGTGTCTCCCTCTCTTACACCCTTCTTGATCGGTAAATGTTTAGGAACCTGATAATCTCAAAAGTTATGGTTTTACACTTGCGGTGTGCAAGGACTTGCATAACGACATTGGTTTGTGCTATATTAAGTCATTACTGATGCATCTCCTCGAAGGCCAATAGAAATGATCGTCACAGGAGAGAAGACCAGCCTGAGCAGATTTTGCAACATAAGTCTTGGTACACAGATAAACAGCATATTCATTAATTATAAGAATAAGGAGACGAAAAATAGCTCATTCAACACAAAACCGCATTGACAGAAGGAACTCGATCAGCGGTGTAAAAAGTGTTCCCACAAGACGTTTCTCTCCAACAATTTCAGTACAGCTCTCACGTTCTTTTTTACTACAACTTTGAATTTTTATTTTTACACCCTGGTCATTTTGGCAGCTCATCATCGGCAACTACGGCCTGAGTTACGACCAGAGTAAAGCGCAGATGGCTCTGTGGGCCATCATGGCCGCTCCGCTCTTCATGTCCGTTGACCTGAGAACCATCCGGCCAGAGTTCAAGGAAATTCTGCTCAACAGACAGATCATTGCCGTCAACCAGGACCCACTAGGAAAGATGGGAAGACGGATCGTGACGGTGAGTAAAACGGCCTCGAAATCTTATTCGTCGCAGGCATGTTTGCGGTGGAATAATCTGATCGGTCCTACTACACTGTTGCACTGTTTCCGGACTGTGTGACGTCCGCATTATGTCTGCTTGATGTTACTTTAAATGACTTCGTGAAGGTTGTCTCTACGAAGTAGTACGAGACACCTGCAACTTCGCGGATATGTTTGAGGAATGCACGACGGCGCGGTGGGTGGGTGTGTGTGGGGGGGGGGGGGGTATAAAGAATTCTAGGGTCTTGGGAGCCAAAGTTTTGATTTAAAACGGGGGGTCAAATTATCAGCCCCTGTTTGCCATATTTACTACCTCGAATCACTTAGCATGTACCTTAATGACACGCACGGGGACCTCAAGAATAGCCGATCTTCAGCGACTCTAAGGCAGCTCTACCATCTGTGCTATCAGCACTGCGTCGCGCGCCATGCGAGCAGCTTGTATTTGGAATTCGATGTCTTTTTCATACAGCACATGAGAAAGTACACCACGTGACGTTTCAGTGGCTTCCGAGTCATTGCGGCGTCACAGAAAATGAACACGTTGATGATGCCGCTCGGGCAGCTCTCGAATAAACGCAGGAAGCTACAATACCACTTCCAAGGTCTGACGCTGCCAGTGGTCGTCGAAGGCTTGCAAAGGAGATCAAGCCTTCGCTCTGCGGTGCCCACCAAGCAGCCTGATGAACTACACTAATCGTCAACACCGCCCGAGTTATTTTATGAATCCATATATGCCAACTGACCTCCGCTAAAGTGACGCCACACTGCTTTATCGTTTTAGGTTTGGTGTGGCATTCACCAAAACTTATTCCTTTCACGTTGGGATTGCTTACAACGCTATAAGCGATGTCTGTCGTTGCAAAGAGACGCTACGCCACATCCTGTGCGACTGTCCGGTATATGACGTTCAGACACAGTCACCAGCGTCCATACTCGAGCACCGTGACAATAGAATGTCTGTTGAATCTATTCTTGAATGTCGTCCACAGAGGACATCGCAGCTGAAAGTGACCAAGCAACTCCTCAAGTTTCCAAGAAAAACTAACTTGGACAAGCTGATGTTATAGGGATATTTCGTACCACGCCATCGTGATGGACATATAACCGACTGCATGTTTGTGTGTGTACTGTTATGGCCTATATTTCTCTCTTTTCTCACTTTATTCCTTCCCTCTTTCGATCTCCCCTTCCCCGTCCCCATGTGTATAGTATCAAACCGACTTTCCTGGGGTGGTTAATCTCCCTGTCTTTCCTTCTCTACCATTTCTTCTCTCTTTGCTTCTCCACTTTTATAGATATGCGATTGCCATGGCTGTAGGACCTGACCCATGTCCTTACGCTCAAAATTGCAACGCCATAAGTGATCAAATCGGGGTGTCCATACGCCTGATATAAAACAAGCATGACGTGCTGACCAAAAAAGAAAAGTATTCAAGAACACGAGTGGCAGGTAAAAATAAAATAAATACACTTCTGCTGACACAGAGCACAATTATTCACTGCACTCACCACAGTGTTCTAGTGGCTAAGGCATTCGGCTGCTCAATCACAGGTCACGGGATCTAATCATGGTCCCATCGGCCTCATTTTCGATGGAAGCAGAAATGCTTGAGGGCTGTGTACTTAGATTTATCTACACGTTAAAGAACCAGGGTAGTTGAAATTCCCGGAGCCCTCCACTACGGCGTCTTTCAAAATCATATCGTGGTTTTGGGTTGTTAAACCCAAACAAATATTATTATTATTATTATTCAGCGCAAATTAAACGATACTCTATGACGGGATAAAGGTGCGGTAGTGATTCAAATACTTTCTTACCATTTGCTGCTTCGTGCAGCCAACTTTCTCGCTACTTTGAACAGTTCTACGACTTACCAAGACCTGGCTATTCTGTTCTGTTCAGTTGTTGTTGTTGTCGTCGTTGTCATCGTCACTGTTGTTGTCGTCGTCATCGTCGTTGTTGTTGTTGTTAATAGAAACCTACACTGGCATTTCAAGAACGCCTGATTTACTTATTTCGCCTTCTTTTTGCACTTTCTCGCAGGTGAATGGTATCGAAGTGTGGGCACGACCTCTGGCACCCGTGACTGACGAGGGCTTTCCGTCCGCCGCCATCGTGCTATTCAACCGGCGCCACATTGGAGGCCCCGTACGGGTCACCCTTCAGCTGAACAGCATCGGCCTCACCAACCCCCACGGCTACAAGGTGTGGGACCTGTATGACCCTCATGCGACCCCGGTCATCGTCAAGCCGTTCGAGGACATCCCGTCGACCGTCAACCCATCTGGAGTTGTGATGCTCAGGGCCGAGCCAGTGCCCGCTCCAAGACCGCAACCGCAGCAGCCTGAAGGAACCGCGCCTGGTGGAGGCGGTGGAGTGGCCGTTGTAGTCGCGAAAGGAGGCCCTGAAGGTGGCGTTAAGGGCGTGGCAGGCGGGCTCCAGGAGGAGAAATCGCCATTGGTGGCGGTGCCGGAGCTGTACCTGGAACAGGACCAAGCATAATCCGTATAAATGGAGGCGGACAAGGCGGCGGCCCTGGTGGTGGCGTAGGAGTTGGTGGTGGAATGGGCGCTGGAGCCGGGGGTGGAATGGGTGGTGGAGCCGGTGGCGGAAACGGTGTTAGTTTGAATGAAGTACCTGGCGTAGGCACAGGTGGCAGCTCTTCTGGTATCATTGAAAACGTCAATAATGCGCTTGGAACTGGTGCTGCAATTGCAGCTGCCAAGCCCGAAGAGGCCCTTCCTGTTGCGAAGGGTGGAAATGTTGTCAAAGGAGGAGTGTGATAGCCACAGCGATATGATGCCAACGCACCAAGCGTAAAATATGACGAAAGCAATTGATTTGGTCTTGAAAAAAGAATTTTCACACGTTTGTTATTGGGGGTGCAGTAAAAGCGCGCGTTTGAAACGTGTTTGGGATTTTATAATCTAAACAACAACAAAAAACAGGTAAAAAATGTGCCCTAAAAACTAATAAACTAATTCTGACGTTGTTATACCACGTGCGTCGATCATGCACAGACATCAACGTAAACGAATAAAAAAAAACAATGTTTCTTGTTTCCTGTAACCTATTGCTTATTCTGTGGCACTGCTTACATAATCTCTCGCACCGAGGTGTGGCAGATACAAAATTGATCACTCACTATTAACCACTAAGCAACACTGACAAGAGACAGCGGAAGTATGCAATTTTGTATTGAACCCACATCCCGGGTTAAATGAGACAAACTGAATCAATAATATTAACTGTGCTACGTCGGCACGGGTGGCTCTCTGCTTCCGTTTTAGTTCGCGATTTATTATTTGCTAATCCAAACTATATCGACATCCTTCAGCTTCAAACGAGTCGTGGTGGTTACACATTTCTTTCTAGCCATTGCCAATTCTAGGGTGCTTCCACGATTGGATCATGTTTGAGGCTCTTAGGTGGTTTGGTTCATTTATACAAAAACATTTAAAATCAAATAAATCAGCACTTTCTCCTCATCCTTCTAACACAACTGTGTTCACAGAGAATCCTATAATCACGTGCCATATTATGAAGTGCTCTTATCGAAACACATTAAGCAACCTCCGCTAGCGTGGAATGAGGTTGGTAATGAGCTAGCTTTTAATTAGTAGAATAGAAGTAAAACAGGTTGGAATGAACTGTGCACGGCGCTTAAGATCACCGAGGAAAAGGCTCCAAGCTCCTTTGAGGGATACGTGTTGCTAGCGTAAGGGTTTGATCGTAAAGGTGACTGGCCTTTATTCCATGCCCTCCTCATTTCTTTTTTCTAATTTCCTTAACGCTTTAAGAGATACGAAAGCGGGCTCTTGAAACAATGGCTTGCCCTTCCACCCCGTACAGTTCTTCTGCTGTTCAAAGAAAACCACCCTTGCGTGAGCTGAAGCCCTTGCAGGTCGAAGCGTACTTCATATCCTCGTACACGTGAATGTTGAATGCAAAGAACGAGAAACGGGGAGGCAATCGCCGATGCGGAACTCTGCTAATTAACACTGCGACAATGCAGTGGCTTCGTAGCAACTACGAAGAACGCTGACTAATTGGATAAGCAAACTGAGGCGAAATTTTTGAAGTGGCCCTGTGTAGTCAGAATAGTGGCGAGATACAACACTATATATATATATATATATATATATATATATATATATATGTATATATGTGTGAATACGGTGAATGACGCCGTATGTATGTATGTATGTATGTATGTATGTATGTATGTATGTATGTATGTATGTATGTATGTATGTATGTATGTATGTATGTATGTATGTGTTTGTATGTATGCATGTATGTATGTGTTTGTATGTATGTATGTATGTATGTATGTATGTATGTATGTATGTATGTATGTATGTATGTATGTATGTATGTATGTATGTATGTATGTATGTATGTATGTATGTATGTATGTATGAACCAGTTATATAAAACTTCCTATTGTCCCCCAATTGATTCAATATAGATGTGTTAGTCGCGGTTGGAACGTGTTTTTGAAATATCTGATGCTATGTACTCGCTGCGTTATAGCCTCTCAGTTTGAAATATCGCATAAATAAAGAAAGTGACAATATCATTTTCTGCTAGAAGAGTGGGGTCATACTTGCAAAAAAAATGATAAAATGGTTGCGCGCGATCTGGACAAGGACACAGAAGACACGGAATATTGCAAGACACGGTCTTGCCCTCTTCTCTATAGATGACGCGGTGGTAACCCTTGTGAAGAACCTACAAGTAGCTGGACGACATCATAGCAACTCTTGATTGCCTTTCTGCGAAATGCGGAGTTGGTGAAAGTGTGAAAAGGTTTGGTCGGTTTGATTGCTATTGCAGACGTCCGAAAGAGACTCAGGATATACGATGCACCGTGGTGAAGGGCGCCCAACGCCTCAACCCCCAAGCCACCACGCCGGTAACAACGTTTAAGAACACACATTTTTCTGACGGCATATATAGGAGATGCCCACGCGTCATAACTACCGATGATAGGTTAACCATGGCTGGAGCACCAGCACATTTTGACAATCAGCCTTCGTGGGAAGTCTGCATCTGTGGGACTCCCGTTGGCTGCCCTCGCCCTGCCTTGCATGTAGCATGCGATACGTGGTGCGCAGAAAGAAAGAAAATTTCCCTAAAACATCACCTTTAAGCGATGGCTACCAAAGGACGAATATTGTGTTCTGACAGTACAATGGAACCCAAATCCCTGAGGCACGCGCACGCGCCTTCATATTTATCGCAGAAAACAGATAAGAAAATATAGGGACGATATTCTAACGTTTCCGTATACTCATTAAGGGGATTCCGGAGCCTTTAAAGAAACTACCCCGCGTTCCTTGTTTTCTCAACTAAAACTTAAGCGAGAGTAGATTCCCGAACAACTGGTAAATAAATACATATCTTTAATTATTTCACAGGAAGCTCACTAATTGGTCCCACCAGTGTGTCCTTCAGTAGTAACCCTGACAATACGAACTGATGCAACCGAATGCGTGCAGATTAAACTGCCCACCCAAACTCTCCGTAATGATGGTTAACCGGCAAAGTTCAATGATGGTTCATTAAAGTCTCCCAATGGTCTTAATTGTGGATTGCCTCCTGTGTGCTCCTCCAACTTCGCTGGACCAGTAATGAGTGGTGCAATTTGTTCAGTTACTGTGGCACATAACTTTCTCGCCTCTATTTCTAATGAAACGGGAGAACATACCAACTATACGATTTTACGCACACATGGTCCTGCAAATCTTGATTTCGTCTTACCACATAGAGCTTCCCTGTAAACAATAGGGTTTAATTATCTAAAGGACACATTTCATACAGGCGCCGTAGCTTAAAAATTGATAAATCAAAGCGTTGTTAACCTTTAGCGCAGCTCAGTTTGGGCGTAAAGAAAAGATACTATATGGTCAAAAAGGGAAAAAAAGAAACAGACTACAGTATGAGCGCTACTCCATTATTGACCGTACATCATCTTTTCTTCGCGCTCAAACTGAGCTGCGCTAAACCAATATCATTTTATTATGCACCAACTTGCCCTGTCAGCAGTAATTGTCGATGATTAACATATCTATGTCACAGGTGTTACAACTCTAATACAGCCACCATTACAGCTATTACTCTATCATTGCAACGGTGTCACTACAGCTGAAGCTAATGCGTCACGCAAAATTGTGGCATCGTTTTGAGAACATGCAAGCATTCATGAGGATATGCCGCGATGCGTCGACGATGACTTATGTTGCGAGCTGTACGGTCTAAAAACATTATTTAGTGTTCGGCAAATGGCGGCATGCAGAGACGAAATAATCTGCGAAGCCTTAACAATGCCACCGAATTTCATCAAATACGCTCCCCCTTATTCTTTTTTTTTCTAGAGGATGCTATTTGGGAGTCTAGTAGTGGTACCGTATGTTGCACAGAAATTGCCTGTTTCCCCATGCATACGAATAAGCCACGGGTAGCGGATGTCTTCAGGGTCACTTACCCGTGCCCGCTATAGTGGTCTTTCTGAAAAAGAGCCCACTTATAGCCTCGAACACGTATATAGGTTGTGCAACACCGCGGGCAGACATGAAAATGTAGAGAGTGGTACCGTTCCTTCTATTGCTCGAATTTCTTCTTGCACGTTTTCTTCTGTCTGCGTTACCGCGAGTAAAATGCGACCAGCAAATTACAAGAGAATCCCATGGCCCGAGTTTCACACTGCTTCGTGCGATAGATGATATATATCATGCGCTCATATCGTACGCAAATGCCATGACAGTAGAAGTGACTGGCGTTCGTGCCGCGAGAAGGGTTATAATGAAATAACAATATAAAGGGTGAGAGCAGAATACAAAATGCAACGCTCCTTTTTTATGTTTGTTTCGTATCTCACCGCGACGTTGCACAACTCGAACGTCTCTTGGCTTTTCGCCACGCGATCTCGTATTCTAACAGCATCCCAGATTAGGCTAGTTGGTTGAACTCCATGCTAAAGAACAGCGCAAAAAAAAAAGATGGTGACACGTGGAGGATAACGACACAGGACAGCGCCTGTCCTCTGTCATTCTTACTCCACGCAAAGGCAGGCAGATTGAGCAAGTTGGTGGGGTTCCAAAATTAATATATGAAAGAGCGCTTAGGCACAGGATGGAGCAAGGAAGTGACACACAGGGCACCATGTGTGTCACTTCCTTCCTTCCTCCTGTGTCTAAGCGCTTTTTAGATATTTATCATGTTACTCCACGTGTCCCTATCTTTTCACGCTGTCACTTATTAAGATCGCCTATCCCCTTTCGCGAACGTGGCTGTGGTTTGTGTTGGCGATATTTTAACACGCATGAGCAACCATTACGTAGTTTTTTCTATCTGCTTATCTCTCTATGTACACCAAATTTCTATACGAGCCAAGAAAACAAAACGTTACAAAACTCAAATAAAGTAAGAAAAAAATTACAGGACAAGCTGCTTTGGCATTTTCGAACCACTTATGTTGTACATAGTTACAGACGCATAGCTTTTAAATATTCTTTCTCTGCCTTTCTGTAAATTAAAAAAAATTTCGCTTTTTTCTTTCATTCTGTTTCGAAGCACGAACCTCAAATGACACTGTGCATCCTTTGCAAACACTTCTGGTCGAGCACTTCCGGTTTTACGAATATTCAGAATAAGGTCTTTAAACAAAAATTAAACCGATAGTTCCAGTTCAAGCTAGGAAGGTCTGAGAAATACGGATGATATCGTACCAGAACTTTAAGGGCCAACCAACAATCAGGATAATTATTAGAAATTCATCGGTTAAGTTCACTGAACGACCGTGAGTAGCTGAGATTGTTGTGACACGCGGAGCGACGAATTACGACAACGTACTTTTCCACGTTTCGGAAGCGCTCATATTGCAAAGTTGACCCAACATATTTCTTCCTCCGTGCCCAATGTATGTACCAAGGTACAAGAACGCCGACGTGCGAGCGCTACCACCAAGCGGCGACATCGGGCTATAGGTGGCAGCACCGTTCCCGCGCAAGTGTGGATAGGTGGCGTGTATCCACGCAGCAGC